GAAAGAGGTGGAAGAGGGAAATAAAAGATAAGCCAAAAGCAAACCCTACAACTGGATACTATCTTCACAGGTAGTGTGGGATCAAAGTTCGGAGCTCAAACACCTCTTGATAATGGATGGAAGCCAAACAAAAGCCCAGTTTTAGAAAATATGACATAAATTCTCATCCTCTCTCCCCTGCTGTATAACTAGAGATGAACCCAAGAAGAGATAGTCTTCTGATGACTCAGGGTTTCCAAAAGTAATTCTTGGTTGTCCCACAGACTTCCTAACTTGCAGCAAGTCACTTTACCTCAGTTCTTGTAAAATGGAGGTGATACTCCTTCCTTTCTCGAACTCTTCATTTATATTCTGTATCTAGGTCTGGTTCAGATGGATCCTCTCTGGACACGGGGTGTATTTACTGTGTGTGTGCGTGTAAGGTTCCTAGCTCAATTAGACCCCAGTCTTAGGTGAGGCTTATACATGCTGTTATAATGCAAATAATTACAGCTGGCTGGGAATTTGGAGCTTGGGTCGCCCACATCCCAAATGAATGCTCCATGATTATTTAATTTCCTAATGAATATTTAAGCATGCATTGTCAAATGGCTTACAGGGGAAGGACTGAAAGAGAGCCTGATTTTATAGCCAAGCCATTATGGCACTCTCCTGTGATAAGGAAGATGAAGGTCAAGGCCTCACTCTGTTTAGTTCAAAGCAGGGACTTGAACTTGGGTGTCCTACATCCAAGGAGAGTTCCCTAGCAGATGGACTGTTGGCTATTTGGGGGCATTTTCTTGCTCACTTCTTTTTCCATGAAAAATTTCAAAAGGTCTCTGTTTTGGTCTCTCTGGATGGAAACAAGTTCTGAAACCTCAACATGTTTCACAGAACAAAGTTGTTGCTTTCTAGCTAGACCTATGAATAGTAATGAAAATGTGGTTTTTACACTCTGGAGTGCCAAGGCATTTAGACCTGGTGCTTTGGCTCTGCCCTGTATAAAGCTAAAAGCAGAACTGAGTACATTTATTTCATTAGATAGTTTATTCACCCAAGATAATGCGTGGGGGGTGGGGGGGGGCTAAAACTCTTTAAAAAATCAGGTTGAATTTAGATCATTTCAGTCAAAATTTTAAAAATCAGCAAAGTCAGTTTTATTTACACTTTTTCTTTTGAAACAGTCCAATTTCCATTTTATTCAAAATGTTGTGAGGTTTTTTTTAAAGGTAAAGAACTAACACCCAAAATGAAATGTTTTGTTCCAGACAAAAATAAGTTATCAGTGTGGTTACTTTTTCTGAGAAATTCAAACAATTTTCACTTTGGGTTAGTCCCAAACAAATGTTTATTTTAGTTTCTCAGTTTGATCAGCGAGCCAAAAAAATCCATGATTTACGTCTCCGTAAAATGTGGGGATTGATTTGATTTTTAACTCTCCTTCAAGTTCTGGGTGATGAGGCATGAAACTTAAACTCTGTCCTGTCTCTCAAGACACCTACAGACTAACTCTAACTGAGAGACACTCGTGTCATTGAAGGTTAAGGTTGATTTCAAACTTGCTTGGAAAGTCTGCACAAAGACCTGAGCATATTTGTTTACTACACATGGAGATTACGCTGCAGTCGATAAAGTAGCAGCCCAAGGTTAAGCCATGGGAACCAATCCAGGCATGGGGCTTGTGCTGTCCTAAGCAGACCCCATGAAAACTCCACGACAACCATAGACTTTAATCACACCCATAATTAATTTAAGTATTCTCCTTTTTAGCTTCTTTGGCAGAGCTGGCTCTGCTGGGAATTCTGCCTCATCTTCCAGTGATATGGCAATCACATATAGGAGTCTCTTCTCTTTATGGTTACACCTCCCTCCTCCCCATGTGCCTACTTTATGGTGCTTACTGTGCAGTCCCTCTGCATTTTGGCCTCATTCCTGCAACATGCTGAGCAACCAGTTCTGATGCTGCAGAGCACAGGTGTAATACGAATTAAGTTAATGAAATTACTCGTCTACTTGAAATTCTGCATGTATTTAACTGGCTTGCTCAGTAGGGACACTAAGGAGGTGGCATGTGTGGAAATGACTAGAACACCCCCCCTCCATTTAGGGCTATTTCAGTGCAAAGCCAATATCATCATTGTTTATATCATCACTATTTGCCATGTCCTTTTACAAGGAAAATGTGCTACAGTTAAAATGCCTGTCTGATGCGAGTGTGACATTTTCATACCAGGAACACAGAATTCCATGTTTTTCTCAGGACACTGCTTAATCCATCCTGTAGTAGCACTTGCTTGCTAATGAACCACACAAAAAAAGATCAGGTGAGTTTATGGCAGTGGTTCTAACAGTCTTTGAATGTACCTGATGTTCTTTGATCAGAATATTTTGCCACCAGCCCTGGAATCAGAGGCTTTTCCCTCCCTGATTAATGATCATACTGGCTGTCTTTATTTGCATGGCTTCTCAACAAGGATTTATAGCTGAACATCTGTGCTAGAAAAGTTGGTATGGTCCAGCACTGGCTTTCCATCTGGCAGCTTTCAATATCTTTCTTAAACGGGTGAAACCGTGCAGATGCTTTGGCTGTAAAACATCAGGTAGTGCAGTGCCAGGCAAAGGTTTATATCACCTCCCCCACTCGAATACATGGAAGCATTTACTAAGCAGTTAATATTCCTTTTTATCATATAGGAAGTGGGGGGTGGGTCTGCCATTCCTGTTCCCACCCCAAAGCCCAGGTGCAAGGGTCAGAGCTTTGTGAGAGTTGTAGAAAGTGTTAGGGGCACAGAGCAGCCTGGAGGGGTGCAGTGAAGAGCAGCAAGGCCAAGCAAACTTGGCCAAGCCCTCCTCTACTGGGAGCCAAAGGGCCTTGGGGTCTGTGCCTCGGGCAGGAATAGCAGTGTGGGTGGTGGCAGGGCCCATGCCGGCTGCAGCAGTCATGGCAGTTTCTGTTCTTGCGCTCCCCCTGGGTGTCCAGGGCTGGTGTCCTTTTCACCCATCGCTGGATATGCAGCTGGGTTTCCTTCCATGCTTTTTTAATAAAATAATCCAGTCATAGTTTTCTACTTGCTTCTCGTGGTTTGTGGCCACAACAGTAAATCCCATCTACCTGGATGCTAATTCCAGGGAAAGAGCTCCCACAGCTCAACATACTGTAAATATAGAGTCTGAGGGCAAACTGTTTGACAATTTTCAATAACTGAAAGCCATATGGCACTCTTTCTGAAGTAGTTGCCACACAGTGTGTTTGTTACACAAAGAACTGAAGCACTTAAGAAAATCCAAGAGCAATTAATGTAGCAACACATCAGCTCTTCAGGGCCATAAAAACAGCTTCTTGTTTTGTGTGTGCACATATGACTGCTTCTAAATATGATCTTGCACAAGTGGAGGGAGGCAATGGAAGCAGAGGACATTGAGTCAGTGCTGCGCAGGGCTGGGTCTCCAGCCCTCACAGTTGCATCTTGGACCTCATATTATTGTACGACTGGGACAGCTAAAGACCTCACACTCCCATTAGACAAGGCAATCCAGAAACAGAATTGCAGAGATAGGCCTGCCCTTAGGCTAACCCAAGGGAGGTTAGCACAAAATCCTGCATTTGGACAAAGCCAACAATTGGAAAAGATCAGGTAGAGGACAAGGTAACAGTTAGGCAAGCATAACATAATGCCATGAGCAACAGTCATGATCCGTGGAGCCAATAAATATAATAGAAGGCATGAGGTAATACTTACAGAAGTCCACCAGTAGATATTTAATTTCCTTCAGTGCCTTGTTAAAGTTGCTCTTTTTCAGCACTAGAACATTGTTCTTCTCCTTGATTTGGGGGAGTTTGGCTTTCTTTGGCTTTGTTTCATTTGGGCCTATGTCACTCTGTGCTGGAAGGCTCGAGAGGATCAATAACAAAAGAATGGGAAGCCAATGCATCCTCATCTTGTACAACTGTTTCACAGGCAGCAAGCAAGAAGAAAGGACTGAGCGCTGAATGTTTGCTGTTAAAATGTCCCTAACCTTATCAACAGACCAAGTAGCTAGTTCCCACGTGATAACATTGATGATAAAGTCTTCCATAAATGGAACTGACTTCACTTCTCCCCTGAAAAGTTAGAGCGGTTAAATGCTAGATCTTTTTTTGCAAGTATGCTTGGGAAAATAATCCTGTGCAAGTACAAGGAAGGGATCTCATTAGTTTTGTAAACAGAGGATAATACCTGTAGAGAGAGGGAGGAAATACGGAATACAGCTTGGCCAGTCGTCTGAGTGGTTGGTTAACAATGAATCTCTAGTTGTTTAAGAACATAAGTAATGGCAGAAATGTTGTACACGATAGAGGTTGAGAGGCCGTGGGTGGCCCCATTGTAATTCTAATGTTCATGAAGTTAAAGGAACATAAATGACTCTTCTTAAAGTTAGCACTTGGTCACCTGTCATTTTGTTGGGATTGCTTACTGGGGCTCTGCTCCAATGCCCTTTGAAGTTAGTGGGAGAACTGAATAATGTAGGTCTTTTCTAATATGTATTTCTGCAGTTCCTTGTCTAATGGGTCCTAAGTCTCCATTTTAAATAAATTTTGTGTTATATTCCAAGCATGATACAGCTCAGTAGGTAAAATTCTTGTTCCATGGAGGTCAGTTAGTTTGGCCATTGACTTCAGTGAAATTTGAAAAAAAGCATCAAAATATAGCCTGTAGTAGTTAGGTAAGCCTAGGCAGTGCTTTTCAGGTGTCAAGCACACTATCAGTCCTTAGTGTGACTGCAAACTTGGAGAGTGCTATAGCTACTCATTTTTAGAACAGGGTGAACAATGTCTTAAAAGTAGTGGTTTTCAACCTATAATCCTCAGACCTCTGGGATCGGCAGACTATGTCTAAGGGGTCCGTGAAAGATGACTAGATCGGTGAAAGGTATGTGAATACCCACACTTACAATTCAAAGGGGTCTGCACCTTCATTCAAAAAAGGTTTAGGGGTCTGCAAATGAAAAAAGGTTGAAGACCACTTTAGAGAAAGATCAAGCTGTTGCTGTTCAAGTTTGCAGGCCATGCAACATTGCAGGACTAACAAATAGGTTAGTTCCTTAAACATTGGCTAATCTGTGACTTTAGAGTAAAGATCTTTGCACAATCCTTGCATCTTTCCCTTAAACAGTATTGAGTAGAATTCTTTGTCACATGGAGTCCACTGGTACAACTTCTGCAGAAGGGACCAAGCAGGCACTATGTATTTCAGGGGGCGGGGCAGGGGGAGGTTGCTAACCCACTGAACCTTTTTTATTGTTAATTGGCCTTTACTCTGATAAAATTAAATACTAATAGGTCACCAGGACTGGATGGCATTCACCCGCGAGTTCTGAAGGAACTCAAAGGTGCAATTGCAGAACTGTTGGCAATAGTAGATAACCTATTATTCCAAATAGCCTCCATGCCAGAGGACTGGCAGGTTGCCAACATAACACCCATCTTAAAAAGGAGCTCCAGAGGTGATCCTCGGAACTAAAGACCAGTAAGTTTCACCTGCATCCCTGGCAAGTTGGTATAATGTATAATAAAGAATAAAATCAGCTGTCACATGGACAAAATATGATCTGCTGAGGAAGAATCAGCATGGGTTTTGTAAAGGGAAAGCCTGCCTCACCAGCCTGCTGGAGTTCTTCGAGGGTCTTAACAAGCACATAATATGTTTGGCCTTTCAAAAAGCTTTCAACATGGTCTTTCAATAGAGGCTTTTTTAAAAAACTGCACTGCCATGGGATTAAAGGGAAGGTTCTTCTGTGGACTGAGAGCTAGTTAAAAGATAGGAAGCAAAAGGCAATTACCCATCTACAAAGAAAAAGACTATAATTTACCTATAAATGCTGCAACAGATGTGCTTGGGTTTTCTGTATACTCCATGGGTTAGATTACACATTGTAATGTATTAGATTATACATTGTAATCTTTTTTTATGCATTATTGTAATAGGCTCTAATTTGAAGGCCACTGAAGTCAATGCAATCTTTCTGATTTCAGTGAACTTTGGATCAGACTCATAATACATCATGGACTACATTTTCTAACTTTGCACACAGGGCTCATAATGAAATTATTGGAAGTTGTGTGTTCAATCTGGTGGCAGGATATGACCCTATAAAATACCATCACAAAACCAAGTGCAGTAGGTTTTTTGTCAGAGGATTTGGCAAAAGCTAGAAAGACAGGAGGTGGTTTGATTTTGGTTGGGTCAGGGTTGTCCTTCTCCTTGCAATCATCTCCTTTCTAAAGTTCCCTTAGTAGTGATACCCTGGGAAGGGGAAACTGCACTTTCAGAAGAATTGGAAAGGACCAGCAAGGGCTATCTGAGATGAACGTGTCCTTTCAACACTTATCTCAGGATGCAGCTTGAGCTCCCTGGGTAATAAAGCTAGGATGACAAGGTCATTTGTTCAAACAGTTGTTTTTTCCCTGTCTGCTGCTGAAACAAATAATATTCAACCTAAATCCTTCACGGAGACCCCTTATCACTGAATGTACAGTATATTAGAAAGGGCTGTTGACCTCCAAGTCAGAGGAGGAAGCTAGCTTTAAAGGAATAGTTTGGGACACAGGGCTACTGAGGCACATACAGAGAAGAGTCTCCTTGATGATGTATACAGAAAACTGAAATGTTAGAGGTATAAGCATCAGTTTGTACAATCAACAAAGCAGGTCACTGCTTCTGCACATTCCTAATTAGAATGAATTAGACTCAGTGATAGCTTTACATCTTTGGAGTAGCATGGAAATACCGATTTCTGCAGACCTCAAACATTAGCTGTGAGTTAATTTGAGGTATATGTAATTGTTCGGCCTTCTTCCCAATGGCTGTTCATGTCCTAATAATCTTAGAGGGATGTGAGCTCAGACATTTGTGGACAAATTCTTTCCATTTCCCTCCATTGCCCCATGTATGTTGATATTTAAGAAATTCCTTTTAATGGAAAATGGAAGCCATATCTCGTGGGAGGAGAGTAAAAGAGCATGGCACATGCAGCTTAACCAGAGGTGGAGAAGGGATCCAATCACTTTTTTATAATTACATTTGCAGTCTGAGGAAGGGAGAAGAGGTATCTAAGTAAAAGAGCACTCTCAGCATGAGATCCAGTGACTAAAAACTGGTCACGGGTGAGTGTCCATGAGTCATTCTCTGTAGATAAATAAGTGCTGCTGAGTGACACTGGGTGCGTCTACTCGTTCATTAATGCGTTGTAACTACCGCGCATTAAGTTAAGTAGTTGGATAACCAAGTACTAAATCAATGCACAGTAACTCATGCTACTATGCAGTAGCGCTGATGCACAGGTTTTTTGGGAAGTTAACTGCACAGTAGCCTAATGCTACTGCCAAGTAGCGTATTAGCGCGATTTTTGCCCAGCACACTACTGCGCAGTGTTATTAGGCTACTGTGCAGCTAGCATCTTATGTAGATGCTCCCATGCCAATTAGCCTGCCCCATGCTAATTAGTACATGTACTATACCATGCAAATGTGACATGATTTAGGAAGCAAGCTGCCTGGAGTAGCACAATATACTTGAGGACTTTGCAGCATGGCAAATTTGCCATGTACAACACAGCCCAAGTTTAAAAAACACATCATCATCCATTCTGTCTATCTGGTCTGTTCCTGTGCCTTACTCATCTTGATCAGAAGAGATGGAGATAGAAAGGGTGACTTAAATGGCTTTAAAAATGATGTTATATAAAATACACCTGACAGTTTGTACCTTTGTGAAGTTTTACACTGGGTCTGAGCTGAAAGGAGAGTGGATGTCTTTGGAATTGCATTTTCTGTCTTTGATTGTTTCATTCATGCTGTGTACCTCTTTATGGCATGTAGTGTCTTACCTGTGTGAAAAATAAAGGCATCTGAAAAAGCCTTAAAAGGAAATAATGGGTAAACTTTAAAAAGGCATTACAAAAGCCTTTTTATATTCCTGTTACATTGAGTTCTGAAGTGGAATGAGATATCAGCTCTTTAGCCACTAACAAAAATATAATTCAACCAAAAGGATAAAACGATCCATCAGTATTCTTGTCCGAGCCTGGTGTTCAGTGTGGTCAATCGCCATCTAGTGCACGTTTAGGACACAGCAATGTTCTAACGACCATTTTAGGCCAACGTGGTGTCAATTTTTAGTGTTGTTAATACACTTTCCAGGTGATCGGCCTGTAGAAAGTTAATAGCACATTTCCATAAACTAAATCTTAACTAAGATTAGCGAGATTAGGTCTGATTTGCCTCTCCTGCACTGAAATCAATGGATTTACATTAGTGTAAAACTCATGAGAATAGAGAATCAGATCCACTGAGATGGACTTGAAAGTAATATTTTTGGTTATACATTTGAGATAAACTCCCTAACTGAAAATGGTGATGATTAAAGATGGTAATGAAAAAAGCTACAGTAACTATTTACAGTTGCATAACATTTAAGATAAAATGTTTTGGTTTAACAATAAAAAGGCAAGTAGAGTACAGATTGTCTGTAGTTTATATTACGAAGTTGCAGAAACTTATTCAACAGTGTCTATTAGACAATTGCAATATTTGACTTTTTTGTATTTTTTTTTCATTTATATTCTTGTATTGCAGGTGAGTGGTCACCATGAGTTTTCATACCGTCCTGTAAACCAGCATCATGAATCATTTATCTAAATTGCGATTGCTCCAGTCCCTGTGGGCTGTCAGACGGCCTTATAGATTATTCCATAACCATCACCAGCTTCTTGCATCTCAGATTATTGCACACTATGAATCTATAAACCGGTGTGAAAAGGAGCTGCCAGAATACTTCAACTTTCCAAGTGATATCCTGGACAAATGGTCTCAAATGGAAAAGGTACATTTCTGCCACCCCATAGATACTGAACCCCATGCCAAGAAGGTTAAAATTGACTTCAGTGAAACAGTACTTGTTTGCACCAGCTGAAGAACCTGTTAATATGTTTCTCTCTTTCTCAGAAATCTTTGTATTCTGTACAGTATGAGCTATGTATCTCCCAAGTCTATTGAGTGGCTCCAGAGCCAGAAGCTCACTGATGCGGTTTCTGAAGGCTAATCCCCAGCTCCTGCTTTCAGGCCTACTTACTGTAGACTACGGGTTTAATAACAGACAGTGCAGACAAACTCAAGGCAGAACCATTGTGAACTTCCTGCTCTGGCGTGTGTTAATGGACCTACATAGATGGAGCCTGTTCAGCATCATGCTTCCCAGAACATTAATGTTGTGGTATAGACAAACCTTCAGTTGTTTAGCAACAAGGACCTGATGCTGGGGTCTGGTTGAAATGCACACAGCTCAGGATAAGGTGTGTACCAAGGTGGTAGAACTCCTCCATTCTGCTTAGAGCTGGTCCCCCACTCTGAGTCAGAGCAGCAGGAAGAGCTGATTTCATCTAGATTGTCTCCTAACTACTGCTGGTACAGTCTAATAGCCTTACCTTACATTAGATATAACGGGGGAGTGAAGGAACATTTATCTGAGACCAATAAAATGCCATAAAGCTCCTGAAACAGAATACCAAGCAGATCATATGCTCCCAGGGATTAGACTAGCTCTCCCTAACAAATTCCTAGGTATGCCTAAAGTGGTCAGAATTGGACCTTTGTGTTACAATAAACCATTTAGTATCAGCCTTCTTTTAACTTCTCGAGTTGTCTACTAGGATGGGAGGAAACCAGCAAATGCAGCATTTTGGTGGATAAATGACGAGGGAGAGGAGGTGAAGTGGAGCTTTGAGGAGCTGGGATTTTTGTCCAGGAAAGCAGCAAATGTGCTCATTGGCCCATGTGGTTTGAAGAAAGGAGACAGGGTTCTGATGATTCTGCCTCGGATACCTGAGTGGTGGCTGCTGACCGTGGCTTGTATGCGAACAGGTTGGTAAAAAAAGTGGTAAAATGCTACTAAATTTGGTGCAGGAAGGAAAATAAATTAAAGATACATGACAAATCACAACATTAACCTGAATGCAATGTGTAAATGAAAGAGTTGCTGAGCATCTCTGCTTAATTATGTATTCGTTTATATTACAGTAACACTGAGCAACCCAGTTGTTGACCAGGACCCATTGTTACTAGATGCTGTACAAATAGAAAACAAAATGCCATATTTTCTTGCATATACCACACCTTTTACCAAAATTCAGCTACTGGAAATTGAGGTGTGCATTGTAAACAAGAAATACGGTCATAACTTTCTGCCTTTGCCAGGGAAAGTAAAAATAATGGTGTGGTGCTGTACCTGGGGCTCCCTAGCTGCTGGCTGTGGACATCCACCGCTATGCTGCTACTCAAGTCCTTACTGCTGCTTACCAGTATTTTCAAGAAAGATCTTTTTTTCTTCATTCTGCTTTTCAAAAACAAGGTTTATATTTTATTTGGGGGCATGCTGTATGTGAGAAAATACAATATAATGTCCTGAGCTACAACCATGAAACTGCATTGAATTCATTAAAGGACAGACTTGGCCAATTACATTATAATTCATTATATAATATACTAATGTATCATATGTCCTGCTAGTTTAATAGTTTAGTATACTATGTCACTGTTATGCTCCCACAGCATTGTAAATTCTGAAGGAAGAATTTGTCCTTTTATAGTTTTGGTGAACTTAGGCTAGACAAAGTGTTTACTCAAAAATATCAAGTAAGCAATAATTCAGCATTAACAGGGGCATGATCAAGTCAGTCTAATGTCTAAGATTTTTGTGAGCTACAAATGGCGCTGGGATGTAGGTGGTCTGAGGGTGCTTTTATGTATGCCATGTATTAGGTGCAGTAGGGCTTAATTTATTAATGTAGGTCAAGCACATTGAGCTCCTCAGGTTGAAAGTGGTAAGGAAATGTAATAAACTCTCTTTCCTCTTCTAGCCACCTTGATTCAGATCTCACTGGGCTTGTCTACATGTGCACTTTAATGTGCAGTAGACTATTTTACTGTGCATTAAGGCATCATGTAAAAAACGGTGACATTATGCTAATGCACAGTAAAATCATCTGGTGTGCATTAAGCATCATTAAAAATGTGCAAATGAACTACTGTGCATTAGCACAACCTAATGCGCATTAATTTACTACCTCATATTGGAGGTACTAAATTTAATGCACACTAGAAAAGGTGCATTAATGCACATGTAGATGTACCCACTGTGTATGCTTTGTGAACCCGCATTTGTTTGCATTATGAAATTAGTACAGAATTCAGTATGTGTTGGTTTAAGGAGTCTTGCAGATCATGGTGGACGTGTAAACTAAGCTAGGATAAGCCAAACTAAGCTAAAGTAAATGGGAGGGATGTTACAGTATTTGCCCTTAGACTTATAATCACAAGACAAATATATTAGTTCTTCACTTAAATGAATGTGAAACTTACTCAAACAAGGAGCTGATTCAGAAGCCCAAATAAATCAATGATGGCCTTACCATTGACTGCAGAAGATGCTGAACATTGCAGATACAGATCTCGTGACTGGTCCAGGTATTTAAAAATGGGCTAAACTGAACCTCTGGGCCAAGCATAGAATGTGTTGGGATACTTGAGATCCTGAGTGAGAATTCTCATTTAACTCTCTAACCCAAAATGGTGTATTTACTCTTAATGGGGGCTGTGCTTACCTTAAATATGATGTTTGCTTGTGCTTCTTGAGAGAAGATCTCTGGACTCTGAAGCCTGGCCATGTCTCATAAACATTTTAAACACTCATCTATAATTTAAAAAAAATAACCTTGTTGCTCTTTTCTAGGAATTGTCTTTATTCCAGGGGCATCCCAATTAACAGCCAAAGACATTTTCTATAGACTCAAGGCTTCTCAAGCCAAGTGCATCATTACCAGTGATATGCTGGGACCTGCAGTGGATTCTATCATACCTAACTGCCAATTTCTGAAAACCAAGCTAATTGTGTCCAGAGCCTGCAGGGATGGGTGGCTGAACTTCAAAGAACTCCTCAAGTGGGTATCAGCTGCTTTAGCAATAGATGAAAAAAGAACAAGATGTGTCAATGACACCCTGTTTCTAAAGTAATGGGGAAAGCCTTCATTTTAAAATCTAATTCCAACATGGAGATGTACTTGAGTTTTGCATTTCTTCACTACCTCCTGAGAGTCATGGCAAAACCATTTATTTCTTGGCATGCCTTCACATCTCTGAAGAGCTCTCTCCTGGCCTATATGTCTATCATTGCCTCTTTGACCATTACTGTACAATCCTATTTTATCAACAAAATTAACTTCTATGCTCCACTAATTTCCCTCTCTTATCCCTTCCCAAGTGCCTTTCTCCTGGCTCATATAGACCAAACCCTCCTCTGATTCTTCTGACTGATCAGGTCACCACCTCCTAAAAGGGCATTATTCCTTCAGTGGTGACTGCTGAGCAGGAGTTTCTCACCATGATTATAAGTCAACTGCAATGCCTCATAACCTTGTTGAGACTGTCATTTACGGCCCAATATAACACCCACTGAAGTCAAAGGAAAGATACCCATTGACTTCCTTGGACTTTGGATTCGAGTCATAGAATACAAATTCTGTGGAGCTGCTGTTTGTTTTTGCTTTTGTTCTGCAGTTCAAAACTGGACAGCTCTTAGTAAATAATTATAGAAAAATAACTAAGATGCGGGGCAGCAGCTCACACATCTTTGATTGCATGAATTCATGCCTGGTGAGACAGAGCTCCAGTGAATACCAGAATCCTGAGGTTTATCTGTCTTGTTAGTCTAAAAGTTTTATACAATACCTGGTGCCACTGTTTGTCTTGTGCAACCAGGGAATTCTAAGACCCTTCTATGGAGTAACTTGTGCCACTGTTTTGTTGTGTGAACAGTTAATTTAAACACCGTGTTTCTCTCTTGTGCACTGAATTTTAGGAAATATAGTTTGCCTGCATGGGGAAAAATGCATATAGTCATTGTTATATATTATGTGCTCTGAAGGGTGGCATCTGCTGACCATAACTGTGTCAAGACGAAGAGTCAAGACCCCATGTTCATCTACTTTACAAGTGGAAGCACAGGAGCTCCAAAAATGGCCGAACACTCCCACAGCAGTTATGGCATAGGATTTGCAGCCAGTGGCAGGTAAAACTCATCACAGCTCCTAATATTCTAGGTCAGTGTCAAGGTCACTGGCTGAATGCAAAGGGGGCCACGGCAATAAAAGGCTTAGATATTTTAGTGGTGTAGAATATATTTTTTACTACTTTAAAATTGTGGTTATTAAAAGCCTTTTGTTGTAGCAGATTGTAATTCCCATCAGCAGCATTATGGTTGGTCACCCACAAAGAAGGGTAATCAAACTAGTTTACTTAGAGAAAAACAGGATGAAGCTCAGTTTTTCAATACCACATAAAGCTTCCTGGGCCAGAGCTTCCTCTATAGTGAATTGTTGTAGCTCAGTTGAAGATCTGCTATGGCTTATACCAACTGACAATAGAATCATAGAAAATTAGGATTGGAAGGGACCTTAGGAGGTCATCTAGTCCAACCCCACACTCAAAGCAGGACCATCCCCTACTAGATCATTCTAGCCAGGGCTTTGTCGACCTGGGCCATAAAAACCTCCAAGGTTGGAGATTCCATCACCTCTTTATGTAACCCTTAGCAGTGCTTCACCACCTTCCTAGCAAGAAACTTTTACCTAATTTCCAACCTAAACTTGTCTTGCTTCAACTTGAAACCTATTGTTCCTTGTACTGTCATCTGCCACCACTGAGAACAGTGTAGCTCCATTCTCCTTGTTAACTACTCCTCATGTAGTTAAAGATCTTGCCCCTTGAGTTTAGCTTCAGAACGAGGGAGACATTTCTTTAAAAATAAGAGCAAAAACAAAAAAATGTGGGTGTAAAATGGCACCTCCACTCATGGAGAAGCAAGAGTTCTCGTGGGTAATATCGTTTATTGGCCCAAGTCCATGTTTGGGATAGATATAGGCAACCTTTCTGGTATCACCATACCCTCCCTCAGGCCTAATAGCAGATGGAACAAAGCTGACTGTTTGGCCCCATTATTTCATCCTTCTCTGCATATAATTACTGCATTACCGGGGAACCTTTTTAATTGGAATTAAAGATGACACGCACACTGGATGATCCAAAAAGAAATCATGATTATGTGCTGTGATACCATTTTCAGAAATGTGGCATGTGCTCAAGTCCTAATGAAGTCAATGAGATCTGGCAGTGCTCAGCACCTCTGAAAACCAGGCTCTATCTGTGACCTAAAAGAATGGATATTCGTGATGAAGATCAAGCGTGGGGAAATTATAAAGCAGCTGAGCAGAAACACTGGGGTTGAATCTCAAATGGACTTGGTATCAGACATAGCTGATAATGGACCTATGACACCTTGATGTGAATGTTGTGTGCTGGACCCTGATCCAAATATTAATAGAAAGACTTCTACCAACTTCAGTAGGCTTTGGATTAGAGGTTTCCCAGTGTATTTTGCATTTCAACCTGCCTGATAATCACACAATAGTTCCTTTGGTTTCCTAGAGAAAGAATGTGTGATAGTGTTGATTGTGTAGCTTTAGTAATAGTTTAGACAATGATTGTAGATTTGTATGGGATGGTTTTGATAGAACCTGCCTCAGGCAGGGGGTTGAACTAAATAACCCCCCGAGGTCCCTTCCAGCCCTACTTCTCTATGACTATGATTTGACAGGGAAGGGAGGGAGGAAGGAAGGAAGAAATATCCTCATGTCGTACGTTCAGCTCTGGATCTAAATGTTGTGTCTGAAGGTCACTATTATAAGTAGAGTGCTTCAGAATCCCAGACGTTTGAGAGAGAGAAAACGAAAAGGAATGGACCATAAGAAGAAGAGGGATCTTTACCATTCAGTTTCGTCCTCATGGACTTTGTGCTTTTTAATGAGATCTGCCTGGTGATACCTCATCTTCAGGGCAAGGCTCCAGCCCTTCTCCTTATTACCCTCTAACGTGCATTCCAGGCTCTCCTGATGTATGTGACGGTCTGTGTTTTTGGTTTTTCCATTATCAGGTGCTGGATGAATCTGACCCCCTCTGATATATTCTGGAATACCTCAGATACAGGCTGGGTAAAGGCAGCCTGGGGCAGTGTTTTTGCTCCATGGGCAAATGGATCATGTGTCTTTATACACAACATGCCACAATTTGAACCATCAACTGTTGCAGATGTAAGAATAAGTCCACACTGTGGATTTTATTTCTATTTTCTGTAAGCAAAATAGACCCAGACAAACAGAATCTGGTACAAACTGACCCTCTCCTTTGTCCGTGGCAATAGGCACAGCACTTTCCACCCCCTCAAAATAACGAAACCCCCTCTTAAGTGCCTCCTATGGATAGTCAGTGTCCAACAATCCCATTCTCCTCCCAGTCTGGCATGGGGATGTGCTCAGTCACCCTGAGTCGTCAGTCAGAGGCTGACAGGCTCATTTCTCTCCTCTTGTAACAGAGAACCAGGTAATTGATCTAATTCATCAGTCTTCCCCAGTGCCAGGCTTCTCCTGACTTGCTCCTGTCGCTTATATTTGACTCTGAAACAGAATAGCCCTGGGAAATAAAAAGTAGCCTTAAAATTAAAAAACACTAGGTATTCAGTGTGACCATTAATTTCCACGTGATTATGTGAGGGCAGATGCTTGCAATTTGTATGGGGAACAGAACTGTCCAATACAGCCGATGATGAATCAATATCTTTCCTACCTGAAATAAATGGGCCAAATTCATCCCGTTTATTGGAGTCACTGGCACCAGTGTGAATATACTTCACTGGCTTTATGTTTTGGGCACTGCAATGATGGGCTCAATGCAAAACCCTGAATGGCCCCTGGCAGAACATGACTAAAGCAGAGCTCTCTAAAGGCCAGGCCCTGCAAGCACTTAAATATTACTCCCTCACACATTCTCAGGAACAGGCCCCAAGTCACACCTGCCATTCAACATCATAACTTTCCAATTTCCATTTTTCTAGACTCTTTCGAGATATCCTATCACTACCTTCTGCACAGCTCCAACTGCCTACCGCATGCTTGTGCAGCATGGCCTTACCAGGTATCATGTATTTGCTTATTACTAACAGTGACACAGGGAGGTGCGGTTTCAGTGATCCATCCAGCCTAGTTGTTTGCCTTTTGGCATTGTTGTATTGTGATATGCTATTTTAATTGAAATCCTGTTAATGGAATGGTCTAGCAAGAAAAAAATGTGCCTGCAACCCTAGAACCAGTGAAAACCCCTATTTAAGAGGCTTTCAGGGTGTGAATCTTTGTAAAGACAGTAAGGATGAACCAAGCCAGTTTGGGAAAGAGCTTCAAGGCCTAGGGGTAGCTCTGGGCAAGGCAAGGCCAAATTTTAGGCAGCCTAGAGAGTAACCTGGGTATGAGGCAGAGCTGATCCCATAATTCATCAAAGTAAAATGAGCAGTTAAATGAACCACTCACAAACTGATATTCACTTGCAAGCAGCACCCAGTGTCCTGTTGTTTTCTAGGAACGTTCATCTCCAAGGATGTGTTCTGTGTGAGTATCTGGCACAGAGGGGTCCAGGATTTGCTCAGATCAGATTCTGGTATCTTGAAATCTTGTAAGAGGAAAAAAGAGTCTTACGTATGTTTTTAGTCCTGCCAAATTCACTCCCATCTTGAAAGTGAATTCAGGTTCTGCATTTCCACTGGCAGCCTCCATAAATTTCCCCTTTGTTTCTATCACATTCATATTATCATGTTTGGATACCACATGTGGTTTGGTATATAACACACCACATAAAGGCATGAGATATTGGTACTAGTGGGCACAGCCATAAAACCCTCCCCCACTTGTTGAGTGACAAAAGGTGGCTGAGACCTCTTCAATGGTCTTGATTTAGCTCTTCCAAGAAAACACCTGCTGCTCCTCTTCTGTTGAGTTCCATAAACATTTTTCTTACTGGAAATCCTCCTCCTACTCTCACTGATGCAAGTAGATACTTCACCTTGCCTCCACTGGAAATGTGATTAGGACTTAAGGTTGATTTAGGAGCCTAACTGCAGTTTTGTGCAGCAGAACAATTATTTACATTTTCAATGAGTAAAGGAGGTTTTTAGACACATGGGACCACTGGAAAGTCCAAGGAGTTTCCTAACTCAACACAATTGCCAATTCTGTGAAACTGGTTATTGATTCTGATTATTTTCTGTGCTTCTCAAGTTACAAGTTCATGAGTCTGAAACACTGTGTGTCCGGAGGAGAGCCACTCAACCCAGAAGTGATGGAGCAGTGGAAAACTCAAACAGGCCTGGATATCTATGAAGGCTATGGCCAGACTGAAACAGTATGTTTGTTCTCATTCTTTCATCACGCAGCAGTCATGGTAACCTCTCAAGTGTAGCAGGATGAAGGCATAAACAGGGCACAATGCACTTGGTAAACCAGTGGCAAAGGTGACAATTCATTTTGGTCAAAATTTTTAAGGAAGCTATAAATTGATTAGGTATTCTTTTTATATGATCCTTATAACAACTAGATTAATACATTTTTAAGACCTAAGGGAGCTCTTGTGATTATAAAGTCTGACTTTCTGTATAATGCAGGCAAGAGAATATTACCTAATGATTCTTCCCTCAAATCAAATAACTTGTGGTTGAACTAGATCATCTCTTCTAGAAAGAGAAAGTACCAATACGTAGTTATGAAAGTGTTTTTGCCATGCTAGGATTGCAAGGGAAAACATAAAACCAGCTCCCTCCTAAGATGTCTGTATAAATATTTGTGACTGAATATAATAAAAATACCAAGAACAGATTCAGGCCTTCTTTAAATTTCACTTTCAGAATGTGCACAAAATAATTCAGTGAAATCAATGACACATCACATCCAGTTTGGGGACCTGCCCAACTCCCAGGCATGGGTCTACAAGTCTTCAATTACAGAGCAGGCGGAAGAAAATATTAGAATCTCAGTGGCTGCAAAGGTGGATGATGGTGGCAGTGGAACAAGATCCCCAGTTGTCTTGGTCTCCTTGCCATTGGATCAAGATCCCATTCTGCCAAGAGCCGTGTGGAAGTTGATGTGCAGCAGTTTCTCCACAATAAAAGAAGTAATGTACAGGTGTCTTCCATGAAAACAGGTTTTCAAGCACATTCCTCAAGTCCTTTGGCAACCAGCTAATGGCAGTGGCAGAAGGATTGTGAGGTCTGGAAGCTCCTAGTCATGAACTGGCACAAAGGTGGCAGTTACAAGAAGTTGATCTAGCAAAACAGGAGTGCAATTCAGCAGCTGTAACTGTGACAGAGCAGCCCTCTTCAGGATCTGCTCTGCTCACCCCACATGAGGAGGGGGCTAGAAAAGGTGCTTTTAACATAGCCTGTCTAATACAGTACTCTGTATTTCTTCCTGACTGGATAGCCTTGTCCAGTAGGATCACCTTTACTGCAGTCAAAAATAGCAGCAAAGATGCACATCATTTTCAGGCCCTGGAACATCGGGACCTTCAAGGACAATCCTAACAGCGAACGTCCAGAGTACCCTACTGCAATCATGGCCTGAGAACTCAGGTAACACAACATTGATGTAGCTGTGCTGAGTGAGACCCAGTGAGCGGGAGATGGGCAGCTCAAGGAACATGGAGGCAGCTATAACTTCTTCTGGAAGGGTAAACAGGAAGGAAAACACCACTTCACAGAGTTGGTTTTGCCATTAAGAGTGAACTCATAAACCAACTCAGTAAGTTTCCTTTTGGAATTAATGAGCACCTCACAACTCTCCACCTTAAACTGGCAGGGAGACAGTATGCCACTGTTAGCACATATGCCCCAACTCTTGACACCACCGCTGAAACCAAGCAGGAATTCTACGCCAACCTTGAGCAAGTCCTTTCTAATGTTCTGGAGAGAGACAGACTTTTTCTTCTCATTGATTTCAACACCAGAGTTGAAAGGGACTCTAACTTCTGGAACAAAACCATTTGCAAGGAAGGAGTAGGAAAGGTCAACTCCAGTAACATCCTCCTCTTGACCAAATGCACAGAACATGAATTCACCATCACCAGCATCCTGGTCTACCAGAAAAACAGGCACAAGACATCATGGCAGTACCCACAATCTAAGCATTGGCATCTAATTAACTATGTCATTGTCCATGCCCAGGATTGCAAAGATGTCTGCATCACCCAAGCTATGCTAGGATCTGATGATTGCTGGACTGATCACCAACTCATCTTGGTTATGGCACTCAAACTGGCTCTCAAACAATGGCTACAGCAGAAGCAACGCTGACAGAAGATCAATGTTGAAGAACTCAAGAATAATGGAAGAATGTCAACAGTATGTGGAGTGCCCTCAACGCCACCGTCATCGGTGCCTGTGAAAAAATATTTGGATTCTCTACCAGAAAACATCAAGACTGGTTTGACAGGAATGACCAGGAGATCCAATAGTTGATTGATCAAATACAAAGCCTTTTGTGCTTGGCAAAATGACATCAACTCCAAGCAAAAGAAATTGAATCTCCAATAGTTGATTGATCAAATCTCAGGGACCAACCCCTTTGAGACCTAAGGTTGGAAAAGACCTGATCAAAGAAAGAGGAGCCATCAATGCCCATTGGCAGGAGCATTTTGAAGACTTTCTCAATCGAGACTCTGTTGTTGACAAGAGCGTTCTCAACTCCATCCCGCAACACCCAGTCACAGATGATCTCGGAATCACTTCAAACCTTGATTAGGTAAGGAAAGCCATCAAGCAGATTAAGAACAAGAAGCAGCATTCCCTCTAAGCTGAGTGACATGCGCGGCCACGCAGGCACACTCATGCCATGCTGCCAGGCACACCCACACAGCCACACACGCCACACAGCTTAGAGGGAAGGCTGACAACAAGGCATCTGAAGTGGATGTAAACCCTGTGGAAATCTTCAAGCAAGGGGAAAAGGAGCTTACATCACAGTTTCATACCCTCATTTTAAGGATCTGGATCGATGAGAAAATCCCAGACAATCTCAGAGATACTATGATTGTGATAATCTTCAAGGAAGGAGACAAATCTGACTCTGGAAACTACAGAGGGACCACCTTGCTGTCCACCACAGGAAAGATCATTGCAAGAACCATCCTGAACCGTCTCCTTCCACTTGCTGAAGAGCTCCTCCTGGAATATCAGTGTGAGTTTAGGTCATCAAGAGTCACAACTGACATGGTCTTCACAGCTCGCCAGCTGCAGGAGAAATGCTGGGAACAACATAAGCCTCTCCACATGGCCTTCTTTGACCTCACAAAAGCTTTTGACTCTGTCAGCTGAGAAGCATTGTGGAGGATCCTTCTGAAGTACAGATGCCCACTGAAATTTGTAACCATTCTCTGTCTGTCCGTGACAGTATGTGAGTGGTGATTCTCAGTAATGAATCTATCACAGATCCCTTTGAGGTTAAAATGGGAGTTAAGCAAAGCTGCATCATCACTCCAACTTTTCTCAATATTCCTTGCTGTGATGTTACATCTGACCACCAACAAGTTTCCAGCTGAAGTGGAGATAAACTACCGAATGAGTGGTAAGCTGTTTAACCTCAGCTGACTCCAACCCAAAACCAAGATCACCCCAACCTCAATCATTGAACTCCAGTACGCTGATAATGCTGTAGTGTGCACTCATTTGAAAGCAGACCTTCAGGCAATCATTGACATCTTTACCAAGGCATACAAGAAAATGGGACTGATGCTTAATATGCAGAAGGTTAAGGTCCTCCACCACCAAACTCCTAATGAACAGTCCCCAGCTCCGGTAATCCAGATCCACAAAAGGCTCTCACAGATGGCTGACATTGACAAAGAAAACCAACAGTGCTTCCAGTGTTCAAGTACAGCCATTGGACACCTGAAGAAATGAGTATTCAAAGATCATAACATCAGATCCAAAACCAAGCTCATGGTTTATCAAGTGGTCATAATGCTCACCTTGCTGTATGGAGCTGAGGCATAGATCATGTACAGGAGACATCTAAAGTTGTTGGAGAAGTACCATCAACGTTTCCTGTGGAAGATCCTCTGAATCAAGTGGGAAGTCAGATACACCAACGTTAGTGTCCTCCTGCAAGCAAACACCACAAGTATTGAGGCAATGAACATCCAACATCAACTTTGTTGGGCAAGCCATGTCATCTGGATGTCCAACTCCAGACCCCCAAAGCAACTTTTATTCTCCCAGCTCAGCCAAGGTGTACACTCTAGAGGAGGGTGGAAAAAAGCACTTCAGGGACGTCCTCAAGGACAACTTTAAAAAATGCAACATTGATGTCAACTCCTGGGAGACCATCACCACCCCAAATAGCGGAAGAGTCTGTTTCAGGGATCTCAATACTTTAAACCTCATGGCAACAACAGCAGATGAAAAGGCAGGAGTGGCAGAAACAGCATTTCAGGGACCAAATTGAGAATCCAGTGCCACCCACCCCACACAAAAACACATGTTCGAGCTGCAGTAGAGTCTGTCATTCCTAAATAGGCCTCATCAGCCATCTTCGGACACACATATAAGACAATCTTGGAAGACAATCATCCTCGACTGCAAGGGATTGATAAAGAAGACATACACAGAGCCATACATGGAGACAGCCAGGAGAGAAGCATAATCAGTAGGGGAAACCAAGAGAGGTACACTGAAGTGTGTGGGCATTGGGTAATGCTTCTTGATACCTAACTCACTCTCTCCTCCCTACTCTGGCTGTAGGGAAGCACAATAATTGTATCTCAATTGGCAACCTTGTTTTCTCTTCATACCAATAAAAAGAAGAGGGGATTTGAATTTGGCCACCAAACCTCATCACCTCTGAACATTGGCAGCTAGAGTAATACCTACCAAAACACTAATAAAAGCACTAATAAAAGATAATGTATCATAGTGTATCATACTGATGTAATGTTTGACAATGTATTACACAGGTAACAATATGTGCCAATAAGAAAGGAATGAAAATTAAATCTGGCTCTATGGGACAGGCATCTCCACCTTACGATGTTCAGGTACGTTGATATACTTTCAAGGCTGGGTTCACATTAAAATATGAAAGTAAAAGAGTAAAGAAATGTTATGTAGTGTTGTTACACTCTAATATCATGCTTGTGACTTTTAAAGAAATTACATTGAGTCAGTCAAAACAATACACATTTTTTCTTCCAACAGATTGTGGATGAGCAGGGTAAAGTTCTGCCTCCAGGAGAAGAAGGTGATATTGCCATCCGCATCAAACCGACAAGGCCCTTTTGTCTTTTCTCTCAGTACTTAGTAAGAAGGCTTTTTTGCATACTAAGGTTTGAGACAATTTATACACATGGAGCAGTTCATTAGTGAAATCCAGCTAAGGATGGAGCCAGATCTGCTCCTGCTTCATCATACCTTCCTCAACTATGTCAGTCTTCATGTTCAGTGCTTTGCCCCATCCCACTTGTTCCACCCTCCATGGGAAGCAGAGCCATGAAGGCTTTTCTGCTGTATATAGTTTCACATGACTAGTCATGGCTAGTTACTACACAAGGCTAATCTTCCCAAGGGCATGGTGGGAGACTCATGTGGAAAGTCATGATGTGGCCCTTAACAAGTCTACATGGTGTGTTGAAGAATATAGGTTATATGTTGCAGATAGGCACTGCCTATGTGTGTCTTTCTGTCTTTCTGCAGCCCTCTGCACAGTAGGTCATGCCACCTGAGAAGTGTGTGTGTGACTTCGTTATAGCTGAATAATATTATAAAAATAACAGTAGAGACATCAATTGTATATAATCATGTAGTTTTTTGAAAGGTTGTGGCATACATGTTACCATACAAATGTGAATACTTTGTAGGCTAGTAAAGTAACAGGCTTGTCAAGTCTGTGTCATTATCCTACTCCAAGGGTTATCTATCTCAGGTAGATGTGCCTAATGGGATGATTTCTTTGAGTCTAGTGGTAGAGGTCATTGCTGTGGCCTCAACGGTCACAAACCCATGTTGGAAGTCTGCACTAGTAAATAATGTAGCTTTTCATAATTTGCAATGATCAGGGGTGTGGTAGTGTTTGCATATTTTTATTATCTAATACACATACATATCCACACACATTTTCCCCCCTAATAGGTATGGTTTTAAAAAGAAATAGAGCTATAATATTGTGTGGAGTACACTGGTCTTGGAAATATATAAAAGTAACAGCCTGATCATTTTTTATGTCTGCACTGGAGCAAGATAGATGCATTATTATGCTTCATTAAAGATCAGCTATGGTTTGTGAAATATTGTTTTATTGTTGTCAGGATAACCCAGAGAAAACTGCCTCTACAGTACGAGGGAACTATTATATCACTGGGGACAGAGGGATTATGGATGAAGAAGGATACTTTTGGTTTGTTGGAAGGTCCGATGATATCATTAATTCTTCTGGGTAGGTCCATAGCTATTGGGTTTGCAGGTTCCCTTACAGATCCCTTCTATATTATCACAAAATGCAATTTTATAAAATTTCTGAATAGATATAGATTTCCTGAGTACTTCCATGCCTACCTTCCCCTAGGTATCGTATTGGACCATTTGAAGTAGAAAGTGCCCTGATAGAACACCCAGCAGTCTCAGAATCAGCTGTTGTCAGCAGCCCAGATCCCATCAGAGGAGAGGTAAAGAGTAGATTAAGAACTATTTATACTCCTGTCTGAACGCTGAGTTCCTGTTGTACACATATTGTAGGAATATTTGGGATGAGCTGCAGATGTTGAGAAGAATCTTGGAACAGCTTTGCAGATGCTGCTATTAAAGCAGGTTAGAAAACAGAAAGAACAATTTCATTAAAAAAAACAAACTAGAATTTCAAAATAATTCCATTTTTCAGAGTTCAACTGGAACAAGTTTAGGGGTTTTTTTGTGGGGGGGTTGTATAATTTTGTTTTTTTTAATTGGAATTCACATTTTCTTTTTTCCTTTTCAAAATAAATTGCTTAAAACAGGAGTAACTACAGCCACTGGGAACTCTGAACCTCTGAAAATTAGGCCATTTAGTTAATTGTATTACTGTAGACTTTGATGTTTAATTTCATGAAGAATATTTGGGTTTGGGCTTTCTTATATCCCTGTTTTCAGCCTTGACACTAGGATTGATTGATGAATGTCAAATAAGGACATTGCTTCCAGTGTTTGCAAGCTAACAGTCTCCTAACTTTTATTACACAGGTGGTAAAAGCCTTCATTGTCCTGGCGCCTGCTTTTTTATCTCATGACCCAGAAAAATTAGTTCATGAACTACAGGAGCATGTGAAAAAGGTTACTGCTCCCTACAAGTATCCCAGAAAGGCAAGTGCACTCTTCCTTCCACAATCTCCACTTGATAAAAGAGGTACATTCAAAGCACAGAACCATATAGCTTTTCTAAGTTTTTCAGGAATTAGGCCATATCTAGGGCTAATTGCACCAATTCCTTTCCTGACACTAATGTCTTCAGAAGGCTCTGAACACATTTCAGTAAAATGACCAGCTGGCAGGCCCCACCTGGGTGATCCTACATACAGACTTCCCTCAGCAAGGACCAAAGGGAATGAATGGTAAACACAGTTCATTACACAGGGCCCAGTCCTGAAGTCATTGAACACTGACAGTTAGGCACTCTACTCCCATTAACTTCTAACGGTATTTGGATGCCCGCTCCATTGGTCCGCATTCAAATTCCCAGCCCAAGTCAGTGACAAACACCTATTGACTTCAGTGTCAGAAGGATTTAGGCTCAGTATTGTAGAGTGACTCAACAGAAATTCTCATTCCCAAGTTAACTGGGGGTTGTGCACTCACCACAGTTCTGCATCCTTTACTAACTACAAGACGTCTTAAATTGGCATTGTATTTCCCACCTGGTTCTACAGGAAGCTGTATCCATAACTTACAAAGGATCTACCCTTAGGGTGCATCTATACATCACCCTACAGTGACATGGTGACATGTTAAGTCACCATATGGCATACTACACGTGATCGCCAGCTATGTTGCCATAGGGGTGTGCTCCCTGGGTGTACTGCACCACTGCAGCAACATAGCAGCAAAATCTGCCTGTGAACCATTTGTGCGGTGCAGTAACCACCTGTACTGCACTATGCTTTAGTACTTGCAAAAGGAAGTACTAAAACATGGTGCCATAGCAATGTTGCCATATAGCAATGTGTAGACACACCCTAAATGTGCTAATTGTCACTACTTAGGTGGAGTTTGTTCAAGAGCTGCCAAAGACTGTTGCTGGGAAAATCCAGAGGAAGGTACTGAGAAACAAAGAGTGGGGAAGAGCATAGCATGGTCTGGACGTTCAAGAGCAACTGCTTCTTTCACATCCATCATCATCAATCAAGCCATGTTTTGCTCTCTATCATGAACAAAAACTGTTAATAGAATGGATGAGACTGTTAGCTACCAGTGGAAGAGAAAATAAAATTTTATGGTACTTGCATATTGACTGTGTGATAGTTCACCCAAGGTTGTAAAAACAGGAGGCCATTGATTTAGATGGCTTTGGATCAAAACATTTTGGAAAAGAGAGGATATGACTAAGAGAAGGAAAGCTGGGTTTAGGAATGTATGAGGGGGAAATAAAGGAGAATTTCAAGCGTGTACAGGAAGACCTGTGAGTACAAAATATGTACTAAATACATTTCCTTTCCTGAGAACATTTTAAGGTTTTCTGACCCAAGTAAAAATAAAGATTCAATAGCTCAAAAATATTCACAGACCAACAATCTGAAGAAAAATGTTGGTCTGGTTCTGTTGAAACATGTTCAGAATGTTTCTTTTTCATTTTTAATTTTTTTTTATTCTTTTATTATAACTAATTTAAATTTCAGAAGGCATTTTGAACCAAAAGCAGATTTGTTTTCATTTGGCAAATGGCTAAGTTTGATTAATTGGCTTTTTTTTAACAAAATAAGTTTGGTCCAAAAAATCCCAACCAGCTGTGCTGGTGGGCACAGTGCTGTAGCAATGAAGTCTGGCATCCGGGGCAAAGCTCGCAGCAGCAGCCTGCCCTTGCCCTGTGCACAGATCTGGGGGGCACACCCCCCTGCCACGCTTGCCTGAGAGTGCATGCAGTGGTGGGAACCACCCTTCCCCCATCCCTGCACCCCTGCAAACGAACTGCTCGCGGCTCCGTCCCGCACCTTGCCCTGGCTGGACAGCACCTGTTGGTGCTCCTTTGCTTCGGTGCCCAGGGCAGTCGCCCCGCTTGCCCCCCCCCTCTTGTTGCAACACTGGGTGGGCATGATATTAGGCAGAAATAGCATCGTGTCCTGTGAACTTTATAGCCCTTGTTAAATTCATTAGATTGTGAAGTCTTTAATTTGCAGAAATGGGGAAGAGAGACAGTGCTGGAGGTTAAAGTGCAAAGTCCCGGTGTAAATAATTACAAAATATAAACCCCTGCACAGGAGATAAATGTTGCATTGCCTCCTTTATTCTACACTATGTGGCATCAGAGTAAACTATACTGACTAAAACAGTGGGTGGCATAGCATATATATGTATATATAGCGTCAAATAAAAGCTAAGAGCAACAGGACCATTTCTGTGGACATAGACACCCTGAAAGCTGAAAAAACCAAAGAAGATCTACCGTGTGCAGCTCTTCAGTGTTCTCTCAGAGCTTCACTGTCCAGCCTGTTGGCCATCACAAAACACAGGTCGGTGAAACATGCTTGTTTGCCTGTGTCCTCAACTTCACTCTTAACAAAAAGGGAATTGGCTTATCCAGCACTTCAAAGCATCACACACTACTGGGTGAGATATTTCTTTTCCTTAAATTTGGGTTGTTTTATTAACTTTATTTTCTGCTATATTTTAATTAGAGAAAAATTTTGTTCACCTGGGAAATTCCAAATTCCAACACTTTGACATATTTTTCTAGGAAATTCTTTTCAGTATCTTTTCTTCTCTTCAGTAGTGCATTTTTCACCATCGCAATACATAGTTTATATAGATATCTCTACCTATAGATTAGAAAGTAGCTACTAACATAGTTACAGTATGTAAAAAATGAGACATATATTGAAAAAAATACATTTCTGAACTTCTCTGTTGTGTTGAGTTGAAAATGGATACATTTTGCATTTTATTTTTTTCCAACATATTCTATAAATAGTTTTGATAATGAAAAAATTCTCTGAAATCATCATTAATTGAAAAAAATATGTGGATTTCATGGAAAATGGATTTTCCCTTAATAAAGAAATAAGGGGTGCCAATTATGATCAATAAACATTGGGAGATACATCTCTGAATTAGTGTATAAGGCAAGGGTGAGCAAAATATGAACCCACCAATTGATTGTATCCAGCCCACGGCTGCCCCATGCATGGGACCAACACCCACCTGCTCCTACTTGGGGCAGCCTGTACCACGGTCCTGTCTGCACCCAACCTACTAATGGCACTGCCCCAGCCCTGGCCCCAGCCTTGGCCAGCACACACAGCTTCCTGGTGGGACTGCTCCTGCTGCTGCTCAGCTCCTTCTGCCTCCAGTGGCAACTCCTCCTGCCCCTGTTGTGCTGCTCCAGGTGTGGGGAAGCTGCAGCCAGACAGCTCCTGCCCCAGTGAACTGGGCTCCAGCTCCAACTCCTAGCTACTTTCCATCCACTTTACCCACTCAGAGTGATGAGCAGCCACCTACAGGCAGCTGAGTGGGTGGAAGGCAATGAGGAGCCAGAGCTGGAGCCCCACAAACTGGGTCAGGAGCCACCTGGCTTCAGTTCCCCTGCTTCCTGGAGCAGCACAACAGGGGCAGAAGGAGCAGCTGCTGGAGGTAGGGAGAGCCAAACAGTACTCGGGCAGCTGCAGCAGCAACAAGAACATCCCTGCTCAGAAGCTGTGCATGCTGGCTGGGGCTGGGGCGGTGCTGACGGTGGGCATGGGGCAGGTACATGTGGGAGTATGGCACAGGCCCCAGGTGGCAGTGGGCAGGGCTTGGCCCCATGAGGAGTGCCATGGGCCAGAACACACCTTCACAGCACCAGTCCTCCTGGGAGAGCTCTGCTGCACGTGCCCCCTGCCCCCCCTTTCCCTCCCTCCCCACACCTGCATTGGCTTCTGGGACCTAGATCCCTCCTCTTACCTCCCAACGCACACAATATACAAGAATAGGACTCTATTTTGAGCTATTGTGCAGTCTCTTTATATACACTACTCAAAAAAACATAAATCAGGATGAAAATATTTTTTGAAATAAAATTAAAATGTGTTATAGTTGATGTTTGATTTTCAGTATATGATTTGTTTTTTATTGATAATTTAAATTATAGATAAAATAATTATAAATTATAATTAAAATGAGATCTTCTGAAAGATTTTATGCGAGGCCCTTGACGGCTCACCAAAACCGCTATTTGCAGCTCTGGTCATAAACAGAGTCTGGGAAGTATAATTGGAGAATGGATCAAAATCAAAGTTTAGAATGCTGAGAAACTTTGTACAGTCCTATCTATATAGAGATGCTAATAGCATCATCATCCTATCATTGGTACAGGAGCACAAAGCATAGACTAGTCCTGTCCCACTATCAATTAGCAGGAATTGGATTCAGTAAACTATATGCCTGACTATTAATTTTAAGATAGATTTCTCAGATAAAAAATAAGGTTTAAACAAGTGTAGTTAAATAAGTACCAAAAAATATTTAGCCTAAGCAATGAAAAGTTCCCAGTATGTTAATTTTTGCTCTGGGTTTTTGACATTACATAATAGTAACACACATGGGAATGAGTGAACTGTTAGGGGAAAAATGAAATTCAAGTAGCTTTGCCCCTCCCAAAGGGCAAGAGAACATTTGCAACCCCAAAATCTGCCTTTTCCTCCTCTTGCTACTTCTCAACATGTATTTTCTTTGACTCAGTGCTACTGAGTCAAGGTACATATCAATAAGTTTTATACTGTGTATCGGCATTGATTTGGGGAAGGAATACATCAGGGAACAACTTCTGGATCCAGACATGAAACTGGAGTTTTGGTCCCTGTAAAGCAGCCACATTAATGCTACAAAAGCAACAAGTTTTTGGACAATTAGCCAAGTTTTATTTCTTGTGGAGGTGTACTACATTCATTCCTCCTGATGCTGAAGATGACAATCATTCATTACCATTATATCTGCTTGTATTATATCAATGCCAAGAGGGGCCACGCAAATTCTGTACTAGTGATTCTTTACTGAAGTGCTGTGGCACCCTGGGTGCTGCCAGATCCTTTGAAGGGTCAAGAGGTGTGAGGAGATAAGCTGGATGTCAGGAGATAAGCAGATAAAAGCAGGCTCAGTCTTATTAATGCCTGACCAATCCCATCTCCCCACTGCCCAGCCCCCCCTACTAGGAAATAAGCACTGTAATCTATAAATTAGATGCCACTCAGTTTTCAAAAAGACATACAAAAAACTAGAACTCTTGGTTCCAAAATGATACCTTTTATTAGACCAACTGGAAAATGACAAGAAAATTGCCCTTTTCTGCAAGCTGTTGGGAATCAAAGTCCCTTTGTCAGGCTCTGGGAAAAGTGTAGATGGTACAAGATGGTAAAAAGTCCCCATAGGTCAGAAATAAACTTCATTTTTGCACAGAGGGAGCTGAAGACGGAAGTCTGTCCCTCTGGGTCCATGAAAGGGTCTTTGTGAGCTGTGTTGAGTAGCTCTTTGATTTGTTGATCAAGTAGAATTCCTTCCCTGAAGGTGTCAGATGGTAGGTAGGGAGGCAAAAAAAACTTCCTTGTTGTTCTGCAATGAGGTTTAAAATTCAAAATCGGAAAAGGACAATTTTCTTGCCATTTTCCAGTTGGTCTAATAAAAGGTATCATTTTGGAACCAAGATTTCTAGTTTTTTGTATGTCTTTTTGTCTCAGACCAACACGGCTACCAAGTACACCCCTGAAATATGGAAGATGCCAAATTTCGGCCGATTTTGGATTTTAAACTTTATTGCAGAACAACAAGGAAGTTTTTTTGCCTCCCTACCTACCATCTGACACCTTCAGGGAAGGGATTCTACTTGATCAACACATCAAAGAGCTACTCAACACAGCTCACAAAGGCACTCTCATGGACCCAGAGGGACAGACTTCTATCTTCAGCTCCCTCTGTGCAAAAATGAAGTTTATTTCCGACCTATGGGGCCTTTTTACCATCTTGTACCATCTACACTTTTCCCAGAGCCCGATGAAGGGACTTTGATTCCCAAAAGCTTGCAGAAAAGGACAATTTTCTTGCCATTTTCCAGTTGGTCTAATAAAAGGTATCATTTTGGAACCAAGAAAGAGTTCTAGTGTTTTGTATGTCTTTTTGTCTCAGACCAACACGGCTACCAAGTACACCCCTGACTCAATTTACAAATGTTATGGAGGGGCCTCCCTCGAGTTGAGTGAGAACCACTCTTCTGTGCAAATCAAGGGTAAAACAACTGATTTATTCCCTGAAAATGTCAATATTTATATATTGGGAATGATAGTAATACTTCTGACTAGATCTCATTGCCTTCTTAAAAGTTAATTAAGTCTAATGGGGTGAAGGTCTATCCTGAGTCAGGCTCACAAGATTTCTTCCCTGCTGTCAAGCATCACTGGGCAGATTAATGTGTTAGAGGCTTAGGAACTTTAACTGCAGTCTCCTGATACACCGTTTTAATATCGTTGAGATAGCTCCTACTGGGGAATAAGGAAAGAACCCAGCTGTTAAATTAGTTATTTTGCCCTTGAGAATAAAGGTCTGACAAACCTGAGTTGAATCTTTCAGGGGGTCCTAGAGAAAATAGTGTATGGAGAGCAGTATCTGTTATAAAAGGAGGAGATGGTGTGGAACAAAGCATCAGGGCTACTTGTACACACCACAAAATTGGCCTTTAAAGTGGCTTAAATGCTCTTTTGCACTGCTTTAATGGCATTGCTGTTTCCACTGTCAGCAGCGTATTGTGCGTTAACAGTGCTGCTGTTTACACGGTCAGCAGTATATTGCACGTTAAATGACTTCGGGACACAGCAAAATAAAACATGTCCAAGGTGTTTTCGTTTGATACCGTGCAGGCGCAAAGGGAAGCACGGGGCCCCATGTAGCTCATGGGCTGTGCAGGCAGCCCGTGAAGGCAGGCTCCACTGAAGAAAAAAAAAATGGTGAGCCTGATCTTTTTTTTTTTTTTGTCCCTGGAGCCTGGCTGCCCGCCCGAGCTGGGTGGGTGGGACAGTGCTTTCCTCCATGGCTGTGAGGGTGGCTGGTGCTTCCCTCTGTGGCTGCGGTGCTGCCCAGGACCGACCAGGCTAGGTGACTGCAGGTAGGTGCCACCTGGGGGGCGCCGCCGCCGCCACCGCCACAGAGCGAAGCACCAGCCCCCCCTTCTCCCCCCCACAGCTCAGGGACCACTCAGCCTGGTGGCAGCTCCCCCTCCCCTCCCCTCCCCTCTGCCCCGACTGCCAGAGAGGCAGATAAGAATCAGGCCCAACCCTTGTGTACACACCACAGGGGTTTACTTCAGTTTAAATTGAAGCGGGGTTTTTAACAACCCACTGCTTCAATTTAGGGAGAATTAAACCGAACTAAACCTCTGTGGCGTGTACAAGCAGCCCAGGTCTAATAAACATGCAGGAGTTTTAAGAGAAAAGTGGTGAATCCCACACCATCAATTTAATTCAAGTGAGATTCTTGAGAGCTGCAAGATTGTAGGTAAATTCTTGAAGGCCTCAAGGGACTAGAAACTACAAGGCACTGTGGAAAGCTTCATTCATTTGGAGGAACTCTTGGAAAGTATCTTAAGGATAAAGACTGAATATGACTTGGTTTTGCCAAAAAGAAACTGGCACAGAGTTGGGCAGTGCAGTGCCCAACTCAATCACCTAACTGGTGTACTTTGAAAATATAACTACTATGGCAGGAGAAATTCCTAGCATATCTGATAGTAAGATATTAGAGGGGTTTAGACTTTTTTTACATCAGACATTTGATAAAGAGTTAAATTAACCTAAGAAAGAGGGAAAGGGGTAAATGTGGAGCTAATTAGAAAGCTGGTAAAGAACAAGGGATAAAGGGCAGACTTCAGTGAAGTTACCCATGGAACAAAGTTGTTAAGGAACATAGCTATACATTTAATTTGTAGACAATTCCAAAATGGATCATTTGGTCATTGAGTTTAACCCCATATATGTCACAAACCCTAGAATGTCACACAGTTACCACTGTGCTGAACCAGATAACTGTGTCTGGCTAAAGCGTAGCTCCTAGGAAGATGAAAAAGGATAATAAACCAACAGTCCTAAGCAACACTTTTAGGATTCTAACGGATCTCTATTGGCTTCTGTTCTGACTGTCAAGTCTTCAGCACAGGGACCGTGTTTTATTCTGTTGTGCCTGCTGATACTCCATGTACATTTGCAGCACTCTCTAAACGCTCAATGAGAGCAAATAAATAGACAAAATCTATGAAAACAGAATCTCCATGTTTCTGGCAATACTAAAAAAAAGAGAGACATCACAGATGGCAAGGAAGAGTTTAAATGGACTCCAACGGATTTCAGAGCATTATGGTGTGTGTAGATGGGAAAGCGAGTTGAATGAAAAAGAAATGTAGAATCATAGAAAATTAGCCCAGGCCTTTAAGCCGGGCCTTAAAAACCTCCAAGGATGGAGATTCCACCTCCTCTCTAGGTAACCTGTTCCAGTCCTCACCACCCTCCTAGTGACA